GTGACTTGGTGATGGGAAACCTCGGGGACTACAATTGAGATGGAAAAAAAATGAAAAAATGTACAAAATGATTTAAAAATAAACTGTTATAATAAAAAAAAGTAAGAATTTTTAAAATCTCAGTCCTTAGCACTAGATTTCCATTTTGATGGCAAATGAAACCAAATGAAACTGGAAGCAGACAAACAAAAGGGCTAGGAAACAGAAGCATTGTGAGTCTCTGTTGGGGGAAAGTGGTTTCCTCGCTAATTAAGTAGATTTGACTAATGCGAAAAGTATCCATATTTTGAAAAATGACTGAATTGTGGCATTAGTCGCCAAAAAAATTTCAACTATACCCAATGATGATATTTAAAGATATCCAATGGAATTGTAAGTCAATATTTTCTCGAAGCATAGCCCACAGCCCACCTGGACGGGGATTTCAAAGGCAGCTTCAGGGAGTCCCACATTTGATTTATTAAATAGATCTTTGGTGTGGGCCACAGAATCTGCATTTTCATAAGCTCCCTGAGTAACAGTTGTTCACTGGAAAATTAAAAATCTCTGCTTTAAATTGATTGGTGTTGCATCCTGCTGAGAAACACCTTGGAGAATTTGAAATATAGAGAAGAGGGTTGGGATTAAAGTTATAACTAGGCTAAGTAAATAAATAAATAAATATGACATCAGCCATAAATCTCACTGGAGATAATAATGTTAATATTTGGGTATATATTCTTCAAACTTGCTTTTATGCACATATACTCTTTTTTTTTTTCATTAAAAATGGTGAGTACACACATTCTTTTGTAATTGACTTCATGAATGCGATTTTTTTTTTTTCATAAACATGATCGTTTTTCATTGCTTAGCTGGCTGATGAGGGTGAGACGTGGGAGTGGGGGTGGGGTGGCATTGCCTAGAGAACTCACATCTAATCAGGATCTATGTCTTTAATAAACAGGGGAGGTAAAGCGGGGATGGAGGGCTGACACCACAGAATTAGAAACATATTTTATTTTAGAACGGAGGAGGTTTTTCTGATTGGTGGATCTCTGGAAATAAACACAACTTGTGTCATGGATTTCCCTTGCTGGATGAAGGCATTTTCTGAAAAGCCAAGCACAGAAGAGTTTTCAGACTAACGGGATAGCAAGAAACTGCCAGAAACAACACCATGATGAATATTTTCAGCTTTGGTCATTCTGCTTCCTCTTTCTTGTATGACAAGAACGTTGAAGTAAGAAGGGAGCCAAATTCTAGAACAGTAAGTGTCTATATTTTATTATTTTGAACGTCTACTTGGAAAACCTCAATATTCTCTTGACTTCCATAACAACTAATAGTATAAGCCTTCAGACAGACTGTGCTTTTCTTTTTCATGGTTGAAGTGTTGGGTGCAGAGTTGCCTTATTTAGCAAATAAAAAATCAGATTCCCAGTTTAGATTTGAACCTTAGGTAAATTAATATTTTTTATTACAAACGTGTGCCATATATTTAGGACATACTTACACTGAAAAAAATACGGTGCTTACCTGAAATTCAAATTTAAGTAGGTGGCTTATATTTTATCTGGCAACTCTATTAGCGTAGTTTCAGAGGGAAGTATTGCACTCTAATTTCTGATCCCCTTCAGTTTGATTGACATTTAATTGACAGATAATATGGTATAAGTTTATGGTAGATAATGTGATTGGATAGACATGCATATTATGAAAATTTATCACACTAAGGCTAGTTAATATAACTATGCAATTAGTGTTTTGTTATTGTAATTATTATAGTGAGAACATTAAATTCTACTCTAACAGCTACTTCAGGTATATAGTACTTGCTACCTACAGTCATCATGTTGTACCTGAAATGCCTGAAACTTATTCACCATATAACAGAAAATAGGGACCTCTGGACCAGCATCATCCCATTTCTCCCACCACTCAGCCTCTGGCAAACACCACTTTATTCCTTTTGTGTGTGTGTGAGTTCAGCCCTTTTAGTGTCTACATATATTGAGATCATATTAGTCTTCACTCCTGACTTGCTTCACTTAGCGTGAGGCCTCAAGTTTCCTCCATACTGTTGCAGATGACAGGAGTTCCTTCTTCTGTGTAATTTCTTAATTTACAAGTGAAAACACTTGTTAATGCAACAAGTAATATGTTGCCCTGTCTTTCTATAGTTCAGCTGTGTTTCTGAGAAAAAGCAACACTGTCCAAGGTAGCAACTGCTGCTTTGAAAAAAGCCAGCGAGTGGCAGGAAATCCTACTTTGACTTCAGATCACACAGGCAGAAACCAGGTGCCTCCTTGCTTTCTTTCTATGATGGATCGGGGGAAACTCTGGCTGTTCTGAGGCACAGGGACGTTCCTGGACCCCCCAGTTCTTGGTCATGCTTTTTAGGGGCTGATCCAGGTATGTACTGGCTACCCTCCAAATATGTGCACCAGGGGATTGAACAAAGCAGGACTCAGGCTTCAGTAAGAAGCCAGTCCCCAGGCCCAGAAATTAGCATTTTTGACAACAAGCAGAGTGACCACTCAAAGAGGAGCAATGAGAACAAGCAAAAGAAGTAAGACCCGTGGATGAATGTATTTTCCTGGAAAGGAAGACTTGATGTCTAGAATGTGTAATAAAACTAACTGAGGCACTCACAGCACTGGCTCCATAAAATGCTTAATCACCTTGTTGTTTTGTAACTGCTTCTCCCTTTATGGGAGAATTTAGCAGCTTTTAAATCCCCTTTATTTGATTAACACTGGAATCAACAACTGCAATCTGTGTTGGGTTTCAGTAAAGTACTGTATTTGCAAACTTATTAAAGAAGAGAATTTGTTTAAGATCTCATCAATAACAAACTCAAGGTTAAGTAGCAGAACATGCTTTTAAAGTTTGTTTTTTTTTTTTTTTCTTTTTAGGAAACCAAAAGGACAGAATTTATAGGAGGAAACCATTACAGTGACTACTGATGTTAGTTCAAGTATGTTAGTTCAAGACATACATTATTATAATCTGTGCTTTCTGAATTCAGATCTCTTTTTCTTCTCTTATAACCTTGCTTGAAAAGAACAAGAAAGTTGATGTTTTGTTTTTATATAAGTGTCATGACTTAATGATGGTCTTTCCTAAATTACAACAGTTTGAGTTGACTCATAAGAAGTAATCAGTACTCTGGGTGAATGGAAGCTTTTTAACTTTTAGCAAAAATTTACAAAATATAGTCCTTATCTTGCAGGTATTTGAGCTGTGGCAGCCATGTCACCCCTCCCACCCCAAAAAAATTCTTGCTGGACCCATGTATGAACTCATGGGTGTGCTTGGAATGATGACTCCTACCCCGCCTCCCCCCGGCCCCAGGCTCCATCCTCACTTGATTTTCAATCTAAGTGCCATCTTAACCTCCCACGTTTTTTTGTTTGTTTGGTTTTTTTTTAACCCTACTTTTCTTTTTATCTGTTCCTGTTATCTGTGGGGAGTTTCCAAACACATCTAGAATCATGCAGGTCTGAGGTGAAATTATCTCTGGTCTATATCAATATAAGGGACACATTAGTAAGATTTTCGTTATAGTGGTCTTAATCAGAAAATACTATGACCTTCCCTCTTTTCCTTCCTTCTTTTGGTTTATAAAACAGTAATGATGGTTATTTTTATTTTGCTTTGTTAATGTCCTTAATTCAGAAGATGAATATTATCGCTCATATTGGTGTGATCACTGCTTAAGGCCAGTGATCTGTGAAGCCCCAAACATTACAGAGCCCTGATATTTATCTGTACTGTTTCAAGAAATGTCAGCCTAGTCTGGGAGACAATTTCATACAGAGAAAGGAAAGTACTAGTGTCACATAGAGGATCAGAATCAGACTATGTGTTTGTGTGTCAGAGAGAGAGAGAGATGCAGAAGATGAAAACTAACAAAATGGGCTGATAGGCAGTGAAAGAATGTAAGAATTTTTGCTCCTTGATTTTCTGTGCCTGCCCCCTCCTTCCTCACCACTAAGATAATTAAATTAAAAATTCTCAGATGCATGATTCTGTATGCACTAGCAAGGTTAAGCTGTTAAGCAAAGAGGGAAAAATTATTAGTAGAGAGACTGATTTAAAACTGAGGAGTAGGGTAGGGTTACTTCAGAGAGATTCCCTCCAGGATTGAGGAGAGTTTTGAAAGACTGAGCACGTTGATAATGAAGGCATCTTGGAAGGGGGCAGGCTATTAGGAAGTATATAAACTTAGGTTAGCTGAGTGTGGGACTTATAGCGTTGTGGCCCACTTGGCATATAAAAGCTATTTTCCTAGGATACACAAGTGATAGTGTCCTTTCAAGCCTATCACTTTCTCCATTACATTAAGAAGAAAGTCTCTGTGCTAGGTTATTTTTGACACTGTCTACCACTTAAGTCATTTTAACAAAGATCAGGCTGCAGGATGATAGCAAGAGTCAAGACTGCCTAGATGATTAAAAATCATTCTTGGTTTTTTTTTGTCATCATTTTTCCTATTACCTTCTATTTTGTTTTACTTTATTTATATACTGCTATGAAGATTTTAAGTAGATTGGAATTTCAAAGGGAAGCAAACTCAAAATGTTATATAAAGGTAGTATTAAAATAAGGGGTATGCAGAGCAAACAATCATACCCGTGGCCCTATAATGAGTGAAATTTAGGGAACACTAGTCTAGCCCTTCTCTCTCATAAGAAATCAAAGAAGCAAACAAGATTCAGAGAAAGGAAGTTACTCTTTCTCAAGATTAGATGGATAGTTTGCATTAGGACTCAAAGACTAGTCTTATACAGACTAGTCCTTATCAACTTTGCATCAGACAACAAATTCTAGCTAAATGTAAGGTAACTGGATATAAAGTAGTAAACAGATTATCTGCTGTGCGTTGTCAGGAAAGAGGTACAAGAGGTTGGTATGTGTTAAGAGAAAAAAATGCTTGTACAGAACCTGATACTGGAGGTCTGTGCTCCCTCTGAGCTGAGACAATTCCCCCAGGGCAAGAAAAGCCTTGGCACCATCCCAAAGGTTGTAGTGGCAGAGATTCCTCCTGGAACCCAGCAAAAATGGCTTGAATCCCAGCTTCTCCTCTTGGCAAGAGTCAGTTTACATCTCTCAGATCATCTATACTCTTTACTCGTCTGTAAAAATTTACAAGAATCATAATAGCTAACATCTGCCAACCCCTCTGATACGTTATCTTGCTTAATTCTCAAAGAAACAAAAACCTAGAAGACAGTTACCATCACCAAATTATAGATACGGTGCTAACCAGGATTTCTATACCTAAACAGGTGCTGGAATAGCATTCAAACTTAAATAGGGTCCATCCAGCTTGGCTTTGACCATACTCCCACACTGTGAATTTTAAATGCGGCTATGGATCAAAAAGCACCTAGCACAGTGGCTGGCACACAGGAGGAAGGTCCTTCCTGCCTCCACCTGGCTATGCCCTTGGAGGCGTGGGTATCAAGACTCCCTGAGTCTTTTCTGCAGGGGCGTGACCTGGGACTACAACTCCCAGGATGCCCCAGGAGGAGAAGCTGACCAATCAGGAAGTTCGGTCTCACTTTCCTAACGGTTGGCTCCAACTAGTAGTTGGAGCTAGAACTTCTTGGTCAACGACCTTTGGCGAGTCAGTTCTGAGAGGATCAGCGCAGTAGGCAGGTCGAGGTTATTGGTTTTAAAGGATACAAACCAATATTGGAGGGTGAAGATTGGACATTTCCAGGCTGTCTCATGCCCATCTTTAGCCTTCTAGATTGAGGGGCTGTGGGTTGGCCGCCAGGGCTTCCTGGGGACTCCTCACACCTTGCCCCGGTGGAGAAGCAGTTGTGGGGTGGGGGCGGGGGCGGGGAGGCGGTCACGCTGAGGTGGACATGCACAGGCTCGGGCCATGAGGATCGCTTTCACAGCGTCTCCATCCAGTTTGGGAATCTGAGAGCGATGGAAACTTCAAGGGTGCTTCAGATTCCGTGAGGGGCCTTTGGGCGTGCTGGCCGCCACTTGGTCCTTAACACGCAGGGCGCCTCGTAGATGGGAGATGGTGGGGGTGGATTTGGGCCGAAGAGGAGGGTCTTGGTGTCTTCCTCACTGGGAGCATCTGAGTTATGTCGCCTCACCTCCTGGTGGCGGGGGGGTTGGGGGGGGCGGCGCGATAGCTCCTGCCTTGGTTTCATTAGCACCTCCTAGTTTAGCTGACCACGCCCCATTCCCTGTACCCCCAGAGCCTGGTGGTTGCTCCTTACCTCCGGGGAGGAGGCGTCTCCTTTCTCTGAGGGATGGCCTGACTGGGCATCTGGAAGTCTTGACTTCCCGCTGGTGCAGGGCCCTTCTGACAGCTCTGGCCTCTGCCCACGCTCACCAGGCCCCTGGGCTCTGAGGGCCTTGGATAAGCAGACCCCCGAGTGAGGAGGATCAAAGTTCTCGGACACTTCTTAGTTTGTGCTTCCCTCTTGGCATTTTTCATTTTTGAAAAAAAAATTTATTTGTGCATATGGAACTGGGGTACAGGCCACAGGTGCAGGGGTGGTGAGAGAATTCACCAGAGACAGAGTAGGGAGAAGAACAGGCAGGTCGATGAAGTACACCGCTGAGGGGAGCAGCGGGCGGGTCAGGAGGGGTCAGCTGTACCTTTTGGGTCACGTCATGGGCTGGGATCCAGCTCGCACTGAAATGGCCGAAGCATGTTTGCAGTGCTACGCTTTAACCGGCTGCGCCACCAGGGAGGGCCAACATTTTTCTTTTTTTTTTAAATTATATCGATTTCGGGCCCTCCCTGGTGGCGCAGCCGGTTAAAGCCCAGCACTAAGAAGCTAAAGCCACTTCAGCATGAGTTCGATCCCTGCCTGCCCCGGAGATGATCCTATCGCGTGGCAGACCTCTCCTGACTAGCCGGCCGGTCGCTCCCCTTAGCTGTGTACTTCATCGATCTGCCTGTTCTGCTCCCGCTCTGTCTCTGGTGAATCCTCTCACCGCCTCTGCACCTCTGGCCTGTATCCCAGTTCTGTATGCACAAGTAAATAAATCATTAAACAAAAATATATCAATTTCTCCCCTTTTTGGCTTTTCATTCCACCTCTCTTGTCCCCACCTCCTTTCTTTTATATCATCTTTCCTTTCTCCTCAGTCCTGAATCATTGGGTTTCCCTGCCCGAGTATGATAGATGTCATCCCCCTTTTAGTCCTAGGGACTTGAAGGTGAATGCAGTTTTGTTTTTTCCCCACTGGATAGCAATATTTGTATTTCTTTTGCAGTGACTTTGAAGTGAGAGAACTAGGATAATCTTTCCCAACCCAGGAAAAGGCAGAAGCCAGGAATTGACTTCAAGGTTTGTTTTCTTGTTTTGAACAAGAAGCCGGTCCTGTAACTATCCAGCTTTCACACTGCTCAGGTGGTTTATGCTAACTGTGGTTTAATTTTTCAAGTCATTTAAAAGCTATCTGAATGGCTACTTTCTAGTGAGCCACCTCTCTGTATATCTGTATCTGGCAAAGTGGTTAAATATAAAAATATGTAGAATAGCATGTTAATTTATACATTTCAGTTAACCAAAATTAAAATGGGTGTAGTTCTAACTCTCAAATAATAGAAGCAGCCATTTGCCATCCTTGTAGTCAATGAATTAGAACTGAATCTTAATTTTGAGTTTTACTGTATACTTAAAGCAATAATATAGCCCTTGTTAATCAAAAATAAGTTAGAAGAAAGACAGACTTAACCTAAAATTAGAGAAGATCTTATATGATTGCTAGATAATGTAATTTGTGATGTGGAGGTTTCCTGGTAAAGGGGCTTCTGCAATTTCATTATCTGTCCCCCATTACAGATATGGATTGATTATAAAGAGAAATTTAATTATAAGAATATTCCAGTTAAGAAAAAGGTTAACATGACCAGTTAATGCCCTTTTAGGTTAGAATTCTAGCCACTTGTAAAGACTACTATTTCACAATTATTTCAGTGCTGTGATGGTAGTTTCTTTTTAGAAATACTGATAATTTCTTTTTAAAATATGTATAAATATTTGACTTATACACTCACTTTTTTTTTGTTTCTCTCTTAAAATCAGATGTTTAAGAATGATGACAATGACCACAAGCTAAATGTGGAGGCTATGATTAAAAATATTAACACAATTTCTTTGGAGTTAAAGAAGATGAAAGGTAAATATGTAATCAATAAAATATTTGTATGCCATTACTATAAAAGTAGTTGAGCCAACCTGTGCTGCTACTGGAGTTAACTAAATTTTGCTCATTAAGCAGGATTTCTCTTTTTTTTTTTTTTTTTTAAAGATTTATTTATTCATACAGAACTAAGGTACAAGCCAGAGGAGCAGGGGTGGTAAGAGTCTTCACCAGAGACAGAGTGGGGAACAGAACAGGCAGATCAATGAAGTACACTGCTGAGGGGAGCAGCGGGTGAGAAAGGAGAGGTCTGCTGCACCATGTGGGTCACCTCCAGGACCAGGGATCGAACTCACACTGAAGAAACTGTAGCCAGCTTGCAGTACTGCATCCTAACCTGTTGTACCACCAGAGAGGGCCAATTCAGTGTTTTATTTCATTGGGTACCAGCTTATTTCCACTGTTATGCTTGCTGTATCAGTCTTCATGGTCATTACCAGCAGACTAGCCTGTGCAGATTTGCTGTAGCTTTTTTTTTTTAAAAAAGATTTATTTATGCTTACAGAATTGGGATACAGACCAACAGGCCAGATGGATGGTGGGTGAGAAGATTCACAGAGATAGAGTGGGGAGCAGAACAGGCAGATGTACACTGCTGAGGGGAGCAGCCGGAGGGCCAGGAGAAGTCTGCGGCGCTGTATGGGTCAGCTTCCTGGCTGGGGATTGAACTCACGCTAAAGTGGCACTACCAGGGAGAGCCCTGCTGTAGCTCTTTATGTAAGCCTTTCCTCAGATTGCTTCAGCTGGTCCCCCTTTCCATTTGTTGCCCAGATTTGCACCGCATGCGTATGTCTGCAGCAGCCACTGCCAAGGGCAATGGGAGTGCCAAAGCCGGTGTGAACCAATCAGGACTTACTGTTGGAGCTGGGGAGAGAACCACCTCAACTGGAATCAAGTTGGGCCCCCAGGAAGAAGAGGGGAGTGGCTGTTAGTTAGGCAACAAATGCTGTTAGTTAGGCAACAAAGGATGTGTGCCTGTTGTGCTTTTCCTACATGTTTTCCCTAGGGCAGCATTTCCCAGACTTTGATCTGTGAACCCTGCTGTCTCAAAGAGTACTAGTAGGTGATGTGCAATAAAAAGCAATTTATGTTTTGATCAAATAAATTTGGGAAGTGCTTTTTGCTATATATTCCTCTCACAAATTCACAGTACATATTAAAATTTCTGAGAAATTTGATGTAAAGAAATCCGGTTAGTTTATTCCATTCTCTTTAAACCAAACTCAACATTATAGCTAGGATTATCTTTCTAAAATGTAAATCTGCTACAAACCATCATTGTGTTATCATTGTCCTCAGGATAAAGGTCAAACATGCTAGAATGAATTGTAAGAACTCATCAGATCAGACCCTACTTCTCCAGATTCTTACCTCATGTTGTGTATATGTTCCAGCCTTATTGAATTATTTGCTCATCAACACATTTGTTATTTTTGTTATCTGTGCCTTGACAAATGCATCTCCTAAAATTTTCCTGTTATATTCTTCCCACCAGATCTAGTCACTAATTATTAAAAGTTACTTTAATACAGGACTTTTTTAAGCCAGCATATTTCTTACCTTTTCATTTCACTTGTCACACTGTTTACAGTTTTACTTAGTTTCTATACCTAATTAACTGTAAGCTTCTTAAGTGTATTCCTAGCACTTAACACTATGCCTTGATATAACAGGCTCATGAAAAATGTTTACTAAATGAATAATTGGCTCTGGATGCTTATAATCATTTAAAAAAAATAGGTGTTTAGATTCCTCCCAAATTTAATGAACAGTTTCTGTTTAGGAATTATGCTTTCATAAAGTAAAATAGAAATGATGAATATTAATATTTATGAGGAGCTGTAGTATGGATCAGGCAGTTGGATACAAGGCACTTACGAGCTAGCATAGGAGGTAAACTGGCAAATGAAAAAATAAACGAATACTACTTTTATTCCCACTTCTTTCCCTAGTAGTAATGTTAACAGTTAATATTTATAATGATCCATATACTCTTCCAAGAACTTTTCATGAATGAACTAGATTTATATAACTACGCTATGATGTAGGAAATATTACTATTGACATAGTGACATTACCAGTAACTCATCTATGTATTCATTGACCTCACAAAGCATTTTAAAACAGACAAAAATCCATAAAATGAAAAACTTTCAAAAAGAGTTCACAAAATAGAAAGATAATGGATGAAAATAGCAGTAAGAACATTGAAGTCCAAAAATATGAACCATGAACTGGCTGAGGAAATCCAAAAAAATATCCCCAAAAACTCAGTACCTGATGGCACCAGAATCATCTGATAGTGAAGGTGAGACCTGGGCTAAAAAAAGGAAGATTCATTAAATGTTTGATTAATAAGGACATCAAGAATGATATATCCTCCCCTCCTACATAGCTAGATGATTTCTTTTGCAAAATACTTAAGATTGATTCTTTGAGAGTAAAATAAGATCTGGAGACTGACCCACTAGCTACAAGTTAAAAGAGGTGAGCACTGCACTGTAAAGAAGGGTATTAATATGAAATTTACACATTGAATTATACAAGTCCCAGCTTTCTTTCCCTGTTGGCAACAAAACATTGGCAGTCAGATTTATAGCCTGAAGCATATTTTTCTTTCAAGAATCTGACCAGCCAAAGAGAAAATGTCTAAGATATTAGTTCAGCAGTTTTCCCAACAAATTACACAGCCAGATCACCCCACAATATAGACTGTTATAGGGACAGAACTTCCAATCATATTATTAGCACCACAGTCTGAATGTGAGCATGCAACGATAGTAAGACAGGTATTTGAGGAAAGCATCTAAAATGAAAAGCAGATACAAAACCAGTAATTTGATTTGATGAAGAAACAATAGAAATAAAATGTAGATGCAACTCCTTTTTAAGAATTTATCAGTACTCACAGAGAAGAGGAAATCATGAAAAAGGAACAGGATACTGTAAAGGAATGTGTGATGAACAAAAACCAATACTATAACTGTATAGAAGGGTTTAACGATAACATGGAAATTCTTGAGTGTAGAGCAAAAAAACAAATCTTAAGGGAAAAAACAGATCAATTCAGGATATCCAACAGCCAAAAAATAAGGATGCTACAAACAGTTGACATGGATGAGGGAAAATCAAAGAATATATTCCAGAACAGACATATTGGACTCTACAATGAAAGAGCTCAAAACAATGAACAAGAGACCTATACCAAAACAATACTGTGAACATTTTGAACACAAGAAAAAAAATTCTTTAAGCTTGAAAAAAAAAGTTATTAAAATTAAAATCATATGAACATCACTGGAAGCTAGGAGAAAATGCAGCAGTGCCTTTGGAAATCTCAGGAAACATGATTTCTGACCTAAATTTCTATAGTCAATGAACTAAATGTTGGTGTAGAGAGAGACATTTTAATACATAATTGTTTTCTCCACTAGAAATTACTGAGATTATATTCATCAAAATAAGGGAGCAGATCAAAATGAGACAACGTAAGATTCTGGACTAAGAATACCTACCTAGGGGAAGGCAGGAATCTCTGGTATAGATAATGTGGAAATTCTTGAGTGTAGAGCAAAAAGAGGAGTTCGAAAAAGGGGAGTTTGAAAAAGAGGGCAGGAAGACAGTTCAGACCAGAGGAGATGAGAAGGCACATACTGGCGGGAATTCAAACAATGTAACAGCTACAGCATTTGGCTAAACTAAGAAGATTTACTAAATTAGAGGACATTTCCAATAGATTTGTGATAAAAAGTGAAAAAAAGGGAAACATTGATTATAATTGGGTGGTGTTTTGCAGGAAGGGAAATGTCATCCCATAAAGCTCAGCCGAGCCATCAAAAATTGTACTCAAGTTAGAAAGGGAGGCGAACTATGTTCTATCTTAATCTTCTAAAATAAGAAACAGATAATACCCAAATTTTTTAAAAAAAATCAAGTGTGCATGTCACTTAGAAATATGAAGGTGGTTATCAACTTCCTGAAACAAAAACACTCAAAATATATACACAAAGCAACAAAAATAAAATGAGCTAAAAAAAGGTGTTGCCTCTGAGGTAGGATCTATTTTTTGTAACATTCCCTTAAGACTGATTTCCTGTACTATGTGTGTGTATAATAGTAAAAAATAAGTTTAAGAGAGGACAAATCAAATTTGTGTAAATCAATTATAGTTTAGTCACATAAAAGATAAAATGGGCTAAAGAGTCCTAGAAAATTTTTCTCTTGCTAATTTTGTAGTAGATAAATATGGCTTTAAGCCAAAACAGGCACACCTCAATTGTGGTTTGATTTCTAATCATGTAAAAGAAAACTACATTAAGAATTAGGAAATGGCTAAAAGTAGTATGTTTCTATGATATGTGCTGCAATATAGGATCTTTTATTATTTTTTTTTAATACAGAGCTCTCCCAGTTATTGCTTTGTGATCTTACTCTGCATTTTAATCAACCCATGAAGACAGATGACTTAAAGGAAACAGAAAGAAACAACTCCCTCTCAGAAGAGTCTGAAATAACAGACATATCCCTGTCTTCCAACATTTATTCTGTCTGATGACTTATTTATTTGCTATGAATTTAACTATTTACTATTGAATTCACACATACCTGGGAGAATCGAGTTTACTAGTATACTTAATAGAATAAAAATAACGTTCAAACATTACATTATAAATAATTTCATATTCTTTAAGCCTTTTTTATTGTTAGAATGTGTGAAAGAATAGCTAATTTCACTAATGGCAAGAACAGGACATAGAAAATTGGCCTTGGGGCACTGCTTATCCTTTACCTCATGTTTGAATTCGGCCCAGATTGAAAGAGAGTTACTGAATTAGAGGAGGATTGCTATGAGTTTCTAGTCATCAGCTTTCTCCTGGTAGGCAATGACAAAACAGTTCAAGTTCACTTGAACATTGAGTTGGGTAGCTTGGAACAGATTTTGGAGACTCCATTAAATCATCACATATCTCTCTGTCCTATTTCTGTTTCTGTGGATTGACTCTAAATCCTTCTCTTATAGTCTAGTTTCCTCTCTATGGCAGGCAAAAGGCAGGTAGGACAGGATCCAGCAGATACTACAGGATCCAGGGTTACCTTTTGGAGAGCCCCCTCAAAAAAATTACCCATCTCTCTAACATTCCAGAAAAGGACCCTGATTGGCCCAGCTTTGGTTAAGATGCTCAGTGCTAAGCAATTGTGATCGGGGAGATGGAGTCATATACCATTTCTGTGGTAAAGGAGAAGCAACCCCACCAAACAAATGGAGTTTCCATGGTCTGAGGAAGGGGAGGAGGAATGCTATAGTCAAAAAAAATCATTTGTTCGTCACCTCAAACTGAACAATGAAGAGCTTTTGGTTTTAGGATACCTTCATCCTACAACTTCTATCCCTTTCCATCAGAAGAGACTTAAAACAGTAAGCTTTATTTGCCTTGTAGTTATGTCACTTCCAAATGCCTACTTTGAAATATACCATGTCCTTTATTTTAGGTATACCACACGCAAAACTCAAGGCCAGCTCACTCATAACAGAACTTGTAGGGTCTGTTATCCCCTGCCCAGCACTCAGATCAGTGTTTAACACACAACAGTCGTTAAATAAATGCTTGTTCAACATGCTGTTGAATAAATAGGTGTTGGAATGGAGTTTGTTATTTTTTTTTTCAGTTTTAGAACTCTCAAATTCTGAACTTTCAATATGATTGTCATTGAATAATTCTCCATGTTATCTCAGCAAATTGTCAGTTTTAACCCAGTGACTTCCAAGAACACTTCTAATGGTCTACTAGCTCATAAAAAGGGAGATGATATATAATCTTTGCCACTTAGAGACCTTATAGATAAAGTAGAGAATCCAAAAAAAAATGTTGTTAGTAAGAGTTATGGAATAACCAGCAAAGTCCAATGGGACATAACTGAACAACTGAATGCCAGATTTTTGTTTTGCTAAATGTCTATTCCCTTTGGTTCAGTTAGACTGAAAACTGAAGGAAAGAGCTGAAATGCTTGAAGGATACATAAATGAAGCCTTATTAGGGAGAAGAGTATTATGAGGGAGTTTTCAGAAGAATAAAAAGAAAGTAATGTAATAGAAAAGATGGATCATTTTTTCCCCATGCGTGTGTATTGTTCTTTCATCTTCTAGGAAGACTTTGGTAAAATCTACATTACTTGAAAATGCTTTTAAAGTGGGGTGGGAGTGAAGGTGGGGTGTGAGTCCCTTGATATGATGGCACTTTACTCAATAAAGTTGTTTAGGAACCCAAAAGTAAAGCAAAAGGTAAATTAAGTTTAATCCCAGGAAGTTATCCAAACATGCATGTATCTGTCCATAAAAAAGTACACAAAGTCCCCCAGCAAACACTATCAAATAATAATTAAAAAAAAAGAAATAACTGCAAAACCTCTTAAATTACTAAAAATGTAAGTTTTTAGTAATTTTTAAATTATACATCTAAAACTGATGATTGTCTCTGATAAAGTTTTGGCTACAAAAAATCAACTTTATGTGGAACCAAAAGCTATTACTATTTCAGTGTTTTTAAACTTGCTCCAAATTGTTTCCATAGTTGTTTAACCACTGTACTTTGAGATGGGTAATCAAAACACACATTTGTTAAAATTATTACAGTGCACAACTAGATTCAAGTGTAACATTACGACTCATGCACTTACAGACAATGAAGAAAAAATAAATAAATTATGGGATATCGACAGTCTTCATTTCAATTTTTTTTTTTTTAAGTGAAAGGGCAAAAACTTGTATTGTCATTGAGGTGTTTGGTTCAGTTCTAAGTGTTCGTTCCTTCACTAGGATTGCCTGATCTTCCCATGCTGGCAACAGACACAGGAGAAGGGTGCCTTGACTGACGTGCTACAGACAGCCCGCAGAGTACGTCAATGTGCACTGGTATCTGGAACCTCTATTTTTCCCATCAATGAGCAGAAGCGGCATTTTCCTGAAGTAGTCAATAATATCTGACACAGACAAAAAGTCCTGAAAGAGTCAAAACAGGGACATGATTAATCAACTTTGGAATGAGTAGTGTATATTCCACCCTTATTATCTGAATAACATCTCCTACCTCTTCAGTGATGATGGTGATGGGAAAAAAACCCATAAAATATGGCAAATATTTTAATGATGTCTGCTGCAGAACTTTGAAAATGTTAATTCAATAATTTCTAACCACCATTCAATAATCCACAGATAAAAGAATATATATTATTAACTATGTACTAGTACATAATTATATGTTATAGGATATGATAATTAAAATGTTACTATGTATAGATCAATATATTCAAATTTCATATATAAAACAGGCACTTTAAATATAATCATACATACACGTAGTTGTATGTAGTATGTTTTAATTAATGTTACCCCAAACATTCTAATTTTGATTGTTCCCTTCATGTTTTTGGTTTTGATTTCTATGTTCCTACTTTACTCCCAGTTGCTAATAGTGGGAGAAGAAGTAAGGAGGTGGCTGGAATCTGATGTCTGAAGGGATATCGGTCACAAGACATATGAGTTTCTTTGTTATCTCTCTCCTGTTTTCCCATTTCCACATCACAAAGCTTCTGCAGCCAGGCCTATGCATCCATTTCTTGGATCGTCTTACCCTGACATCGAGAAAATCCCATCCATCCTTCTAGACTTGGGTCTGAAGTCAACTTGGTACCCCAGATAGGACTATGTTCTTCCCCCAAGATTGCTTTACTGGGTATCCCCCTCCCCAGGGAAGCTGCAGTGAGTGGTTTATTTTGGGGTGTTTCCACAGGAGACCAAGAGAAACCCTGGAGGGCACACATATGTATTGCTAATGGACATAAGCAGCTTTATTGATACTGACTCAAACATTTGATCAAAGCCATGTGTTTTTATACTTATTTACAGTAAGAGAACTGAAAATACCGGGAGTGAAGTAGAAATTACAGGTGAGTTGTTTGTCTGGAAATGTTTTATTTAGTTGATCATCTTCATGGAATTTTGAACTTAAAGAACCTATTTGAAGTATTTGGGGGCATTAAACTGTGCTGCTAACTTCCTTTGCAAAGGCAATTTTTAAAACGATCAGTTCTATTGATCACCCAAAAATGTATAGCATAAAGCTTGGTAGAATAGAGGAAAATTTTTTGGCAACTGGACAGCATTCACATGTCAAACCTCCATTTTCAGGAAAAAACATGCATCAAATAACTAAATAGTCACCATCAGAATTCTTTTTTTTTCCTTTTCAAATAAAGATTAAAAATAAGTTTATTTGTAAATATGTTGAATCTTAAAGTTATGTCACAATGGTGAATGATAGAAAGAACTTACCTTTAACACCAGCTACTTGGATTTTTTTAAAAAGTTTTGAATATTGGTCTTTTATTTTAAAAGGTATATAAGTGGTTTCAGATTATTTGGAGTAAAAAATACAAGAAAAATTCCTATGGCAGAGTAGCTACTGTTAACATTTTGTCTTTTTTCCCTCCAGTAAGTGACGAAGAACTACACTAACATGACTTAACTCTAAGGCTGCCATACAGAATGGACATTGTGGAGGTGGGTACATAGAGAGAGAAATGGAGGGGCTAGAGGGGAATTTTTCAACTGGAGGTTCTTACCTCTTTCCCTCGAAGTGCTGTTCCCAATAAGTAAACTTGGCTTTCCTCCTGATAACGGATCTGGATGTTGTAAACTTTGTCTTTGTACAATACCATGAGGACATACGGGTTAGCTACTGTTTTTTTAGAGCTGTCTCTGACCAGAAAAGTGCCATCCTAAAAGGATAAATTTTTGTTATAACTGGAAAGACATGGAAACAACCCAAATGCCCCAAAGTAGATGACTGGATTAAAAAGATGTGGTACATATACACAATGGAATATTATTCAGCAATCAAAAAAATACATGCCTTTTGCAGCAACATGGATGGGGCTGGAAAAGATCATGTTTAGTGAAATAAGCCAGGAAGAAAGGGAAAATACCAAATGGTTTCACTCATAGCAGGAGTATAATGGACCAAGGGAGAAAATAATAATAATGAACAACTATATACCAGAGCCATTTTACGGGGGTGGAGTGGGGAATGGGATCAAAAATGGTGGGGGGCGGGGAGGGAAGTGCACTGGACTATGGTGTTGGCACACGGGTGATTTGGTGATGGGAAGCCCACGTGGAGGATTATAATTGAGATGGTAAAAGGCACAAAATTATGTAAAAAAAAAAAACTATTATATTATTTTCACAAAAAGGATAAATTTTTGTTATGGGGGCAGTAAGTCAATTTGTCTGTTGCCTCTAAGAGCAGCAGAGCAAGCCTTCTTGGGGTTTCTTGGAAACCTATCCATTGGCAGGTCCGCAGATAGTTCCCCCAAACAGCTACAGGTTCCATGTGCCATCGATACATCGGTTAGCAAGAAAAAGACAGCAGAAATTGTATTAAAGAAATCCTTTTGGAAGTCTCTCGATGAAAAAGAAATGCCTTGTCAAGAATAAAACAAATCAGGGGTCTTCCCTGGTAGGGTTAAGTCTCAGCACTATCAGTTCTACAGTCTGAGTTCGATCCCTGACCAGGGAGTTGACCCACATGGCACAGCAGACTTCTCCTGTCTCACCCTCTGCTCCCCTTAGCTGTGTATTTCAGTAAGTCCAACCTGTTCTGCTCCCCACTCTGCCTCTGGTGAATCTTCTCATCCCCTGCGTCTCTGGCCTACACCACAGGTCTTTTATACACACACACACGCACACACACACACACACACACACACACAAGAAACATAAAAAGGAAATAAATCAAATAATAGGAAGCTGAGACAAGGGGACCAGATAAAATAAGGACTTCTTTGGTTATATGAAGTTATAGCTTCATACTCCTGGAAGTTAATTCCCTAAAACCTTTTCTTTATACATCTCAAGTCAGAAAGCACCCAAGTATTTAAGAAATTCAGTTGCTATCAAATCTCATGATCTTTAGATGCTTCATTACCATATACATATGATCAAAAATGAATGTAGACTGTGTACTTATCACTTTTTTTTTCTGACATCTACTAAAGATTGTTGGTATTAAGGCTGTATTTTAAAATCATTCTATCAATTATTGTTACATAATAGGAAGACTGTAAAGATCTAATATTAAACATAATTAATTAGTATAAATGCATTTTAACTACTCTCTCCTCTGTATATTGAAACAGAAGCCATTAAATAATTTCATTGATCTACAATAAGGGCCTTCCTCTGTTGTTGTTACTCCAAGTTAACTGGGTAAATACCCATCAGAACACATCTGTTAAATATATTTCTGTAGCAGTGATTCCCAGGTTTGGCTTCACTTTAGAATCACCTGAGGAATTTTGAAGACTTCTCTGTACTCCAATTAAATCAGGTGAGAACCAGAAATCAGAATTTTCTAGTTCCCCAAGTGCAAAGATTAAAAGTGACTGTTGTAGACTCAAGATGTGAACCAAAGGATCTTTTTCTTACCCCTCTCTGATAAATTTAAGGTTAAGGTTCAACACTGAACCATGGGAAATAGATATTTTATGTGAAAGGACAGCCAGAAATTTCTGGGAGAAATTGCGAAGCGTTGCTGCTGTCTTTTTTTGATATGGGCCCCTTCACATTAACATGGAAGGCAGCTGTGTAATAAAGATGATGTCAGTAAGATGTTGGAAAACTGGGGAAAGAGTCTTTTGATAGTGTCTGATTCCTTTGACAAGATGGACCCTTCTTGTTAATGTAATCTCCTAATATTCTGGCAGCCATATAATTGTCTTAATTTTGATTTTACCCACTGTCTTAGGTATCATTACTATGAATCCTGGAAGAATGAAGCTGACACTAATGGGTCTCCTTAGTATACCAGCAAACAGCACCTTGCAGAATTCCTGGCCTGTAAGTGGTACTCAATAAGTCATTTTCCTTTTTCTCCTCCCATTAATATTTATAGCTACTTTAACTTTAGCACAGTACCTGGTTTATCTTCCTAAGAGCAGCTTCTGCCTCTGGTCGAGTAATATAAGAAACGTACCACTCTTCATTTAATGGATTCTGAAAAAGTAAAATTTTAAAAACTGAATAAATTTTGCAGTGACATACATAAGTGAAAAGAAAATCCCCCAAGAAATCATGTCCATAAATCACCATCTCAATTCCATGAAGCTTGAAACATCAGTTTTCTTAATTTAAATCCAGAATCATTCAGGAGAGAGGCTAAGTAGATAGTTTGTACAAACTTCTTTTTATCATGATACAATAGCTGTGAAAAAACATTCCTTATATAAAGGCACTTCTGAAGACACAGATGCTATCAGTCCTTCAGCTGAAAATAATAATATACTTCATGTATTATTTACATGTTAACAAGCAATCAATAAGCTATTTAAGGTCATAAACTAGGAGACAGATGAAAATATGATTATTTTTCTCACTGTTATGTGCAAAACATAGTTTCCACTGGAAGAGTCTGAAAGAACAGAATCTTCATCTGAATCCTCCCCTTAATTTTTCACTTAAAAAAAAAATTAAGGCCAATGGAAGATTCAAGTACAAACGAATATGCAATGGGAGTTTCTGGTGATTCATTTGCTGGGGGAAAATATAATCAAATATATTACCCCCATAATAAAATTTATTACCTCTTCTTCCCCAGGAGATGGTGGCCGATGTTTGCTTGTAGCTGGCAAGGAGAAGTTCCTGTTATCAACTCTGGGCTGTACTCTGCTACTCGAGCCTTCAAAAGGACAGCATTTTGTAAGTTAATATGCTATCACAAGTTAACATTCTGTTACAATATTTCTCCATGCTCCTACCCCTTTGACCTCAAGAAACCATAGCTTCAAACAATTATCCCCTTTTAAGACCACAAGAGCTGTTCAAGCAATAAATATTCTGTAATCATGTTAGGGAAGTTCAGAGGACAGCACCACTGATTTGTGTGATTTCTCAAATGTGCATGTTATATAATATAAAGTGACTAGATCTACTTATGCAAAAATCACAGGCATTTTCATCTGATCACTAAAAACAATATTTAAGAGATAGATCTTTTCATAAAGTTCTACATGATCCAGCACACCCAGAGTAGATTCCTGACCACTCGTGTGATGCTGATGCTTTAATAAAGACAGTTCTAGTCTCCTCACTTCCACAAAAAGAAATGTTCATTCCCCAAGACAGATAAAATTGCTTTGAGAATACAGTTAGTTTTCAGAACCAGAGTTTGCTACCTGCTGTTCTTTACCGAATTTTTCTAAGGAGGTAGCACTCTTCAAATTAACACAGAAGGCCCTACCGATTAACCACAACTCAAGAAGTCTATTGTGTACCTGTGAATTGCCCTGTTCTTACCTCTCACCTTCTATAACACTGTTTTTGTTTCCAGTTCTCTGAAACTTTTTGGAGACTAATTTCAGGAAAGGTTTGATTGTGTTGATTTGTAATTACCAAGGCTGTTTTCTATGTGCCAGAACAGCTGTTTTTAAACTGAAAATTTCTGTGAGCTGCATGTTTTTCTGATTATTCATTTTGTTCATTCAGCAATATTTATTCAGCCCTGCCTTGTCCAGGCCTTGAATAGGGCACCTGTGTATACTTCCTTTAATCCTCAATACAACACAACAGGTGGGTATTATCTTCACTTGGCATAGAAGAAAACAAAAGTTCAGAGTCAAAACAAATCATGTGGTCTGGCGGGGCCTCCACCTGATCCTTAGGTCAAAACACTACTCAGTACACGAAGAATTCCTAGGGGACTTTGAATCTTCCAGGGCCCAAGAATCTGCATGGTAACAAGCATCCATGTGGTCCTATGCCAGGATTGTTACTCATCTACAATGTGGCATCAACATCTGCCCCACACCACTGAGTGGTGAGGAGCTACCTGGCAAGCATTTATATCTCCTGAGCTGTAACACCAGGATTATTTAAGATGGCCTTCCCTGTTTCTAAATAAACAGACTAGGCTGGCCCTAGGCTGCTATCTCTTTCTTAAGATTCCTAGTGTTGAATAGACCATCCCTGAATAGACAGCAAGCATTTTATAATGTTTGTTGAATGGATGAAATCTAACCATACAGGAAAGTGAGATAACCAGGGCCTGTGTTGCATGACAATGCAGGCCATCACCATGAGGTGATGATTCATGATGGCTAACCACATACACTTCCTACTGCAGTCACACGCCACTCTCGATCCTCAAGGCCTTTGAACAGAACAGAACACATCCTTTGCCTTCCTGACACTGGAGCAGCCAGTGAAGAAGGACCAGGTACTGAGGACCAGGTATCCTAGAAGTCTTAGGAGAAAAAAGTCTTCATCAATTTTGATGAAGGTAGTATTCCCCCAAAGAATAAACCAGTGGTTTATATAAATAATCCCTATCATAACCCAGACCTGGGGGGTCTGTGGAAGCTACTTTGGGAAATATTGCTATAAATAAAGTTTCTGGAGCTCAGATGTCTACAGGGGCTGGGCGAGGAACACAACATGAGTTTATAAAGCGTAGTGAGTTGGTCCTCCCTGGTGGCAAAACAGATTAGGACGCAGCACTGTAAGCTAGCTGCTGCTGCTTCAGTAGTTCTATCCCGGCCCCGAGGTGACAACATGGTGCGGCAGACCCCTCCTGACCGCCCACTGCTCCCCTCAGCAGTGTACTTCGTCTGTCTGCCTGTTCTGCTCCCCACTCTGTCTCTGGTGAAGCCTCTCACTACCCTTGCACCTCTGGCTTATGCCCCAGTACTGTATGAATAAATACATAAAATTTAAACAAAATATGCAGTGAGTTGTGGTGACTGTAGGGATAATGCTGGGGGTTGGGGAAAATGGCTTTTGAAGACTTAAGGTGCCTATGGACACTGACCCCAAGATTTTAGGAAACAGCAGTAACTAAGTGGGTTTCAGTGGTGTCTGCAGCAGAGTCTAACCCACATGGGATGATGCAACTGATGCAGAAGATGCCTCTCAAAAACATGTTTACTCTTGAGCTATACCTCAAACTCACTAATGCAGTTTGTTTCCTCTGTAACACACACTGGTGTTGCTGCACCTGGACTGTGACTGCAAAAAAATGTTTTGTTTGCCTCTCAGAGCTTTGAAAAAAATTTAAGCCAACCTTTATAAATCAGGAAATTTCACATTTTTCAGTGTGTGTGTGTTTTTTTTTCCTTTGGAAAACAAATCAGAATATCTGACAGCATTAGGCCAGGGCCCTCTATTTATAGGAGTTGGATAAATTTCCACAATCATTACACAGCCATTCAACAAACATTTTAAAAGGACCTACCAGGTGACAGTCACTCTCAAGGCTTTAAGGATAAAAAAAATAAACACGATCTAGTGCTACTCTGTAGCCTTGGCTGCTATTCAAAGCGGTCCTTGGACCTGCACTATCAATAGCGTGTGGGAACTTGTCAGAAATAGACTCTCAAGTCATACCCCAGACCCACTGAATTATATTTTGCACTTTAATTCAATTTTCCTGTGATCTGTATGCACATTTGAGAACACGTTAAGCAAGTATTTACAATGGACAATAATTAAAAATGTAAGTCCTCATCAAGGCTTAGAGAACCCGAGTATTGGGATTGAGTTCTCCTGATCTGAACATTAACTATGCTCCTCAACTTGCAACTTGAGGGTAGATTCATTATAAGAAACTCAAAATACAGAGAAAGATGAGTACTGGTCTGAGCTCCAACTAAAATGAAGGAGAAAAATTCTGTGTGGGGAGATGAGATGAAAGCCAAAAGAGCTTCCTGAGGAAGTGTGTGTGTGTGTGTGTGTCTGTGACGTGTGTGTGGGGGGGGCGGTTTATGTAGTGGCCTATCATTCTAACAGCCCTTGGCGCACAGCTGAAACTGAATTCATGCTGAACGAGGAAGTCAGATGCATGATGCATTTAGAAAACAACAAAAATCTTTGTGAAAAGGCTTCGGGACAGGTTTGTAACCCATTCACAAAGGTGTGTGCCTGGAGTAGGTCGCAGAACCCAGAGTACAAACCTTGAGAGAAGTATGGTGGCAGGGATGCACTCTGAACAAAACCACTGTTACTGTGGAGACAGAAAGAGAAGGGGGTTAAGTTGGTTTTGGGTAAGGGACCCAGTGGGGAGGCTGGACTAGGGAAACTGAATGACAGACTGCTTCATTTGTTAATAAGGCTACATCTATTACAGACACCAATGGATGCCTGGAGACATGGATAGTACTAAACTCCACTATTCTAATTTGTTTTCCTTTACATATATACCTATGTTACAGTTTAATTTATGATTAGTCAGTAAGAGAGTCGTAACAATAATGAATAGTCAAATAGAAAAATGAGGAACAATTTCTTGTCTAAAAGTTTCATGTATGTGGTCTCCCTTAACTAAATGTAAAAATACTTTATTAGTAAAATCTGCTAATCAATAGCTGAGCCTTCAGGAAGTCATAATCTTTTCTGCTGGTGGAGGACCTTATAAAATCGTATCTGTGAAGCATAATAAAGTAAAGAACAATGAAACAAGGTATAACTCTACTTAAATTAATTGGGTTTCTTGAGTTTTAACTCACAAAGTGGAAGCATTCCCCAATTCCTGCTAAATGTTCCACTTTTTCTGGGGTGGTCACGGGGCAGTCACATTCTGTACCCCTCTCACCCCAAACATAGACTCAGAAGATAGCAATAAATTAGCATGGAGTATGGTCAGCTTGATTTGGTTTCTTAAGATCCAAAATGTTCTGGCCCTACTACCACTGATTCATTTCTCTTTTCTTCAGCCCTTCCAGCACCGGCACAGCACAGGCAGAACCAGATGTTATGTTAAGTTGGAATATGAGGATGCTGCCACAAACCTTTCTGAGTATGCTCCAGGGACATGAGGTGCTGGGAGGGAGAACTTGGAGGATGGTTTGGGAGGTCTTGAAGAGAAAGTGTTGGAGCTTATGGAGGGCAGGGCTGGCTGGGGCAAAGGCCTTTGGTGCACTGCAGAGAGTGGGGAGAAAAAAATAAAGCAGATTGTCAGGATCCAAGTGTAACTTGGTACATTCCAGTTAAAACAGCTGGTCTAAAGGAGATTTTTTTAAAAGTCCAGAAGATCAAATGGAATTTGGAAGTGAGAGGATAGAACTCTGCTACTTTAGAATGCATTAAAGAATGCTGACATTTTATGTCATTCTTTACAATACACATTTATTTTCATTTTTGAAATGCTAACTTGGCAGAAAATTGGAAACCATTGACTTTCAAAAATGATCCTCAAGTTTTGTTTTTTTGTGAAACAACATCTACAATATTTTATTCACCTGCAGCTAGTGATTCTTATCTACAGTGTTAAAGGGCATAAATACTGGAAAATTTCCTATCAAACTACACATCCAATTTTAATTTTTCTTGTACTTTTAAGTGATTTTTCACTGTTATACATGAACTTAACAGTTCTCTTGGTAACCCAATCATGTAGTTATACCAACTGATATGACTATTTAATTTAACAATTACTATCAATTCTGTGGGGTTTCTATATAATTGAATTGTGCAAACAAAAAAATAATATAAAGGAATGAGTTACAAGTCATAAGGAATATTTTCTGAACTTACCATCATCTTCATCCTAGTAGGGGAAAGGAAAAAAAAATGACATTAATTTGTCATCAAATTACAGTTCTTAAGAGAACAGCAGACATAGAAATGTCTGTCACTAGCAGTTCTACATTCCGGTAATAAATATATTTTGGAAAACATTGTGGACAATTATTTTGCTAAGATGTTTATGATGCCTTGATTTACATTGTCACCCATGGACCAGCCAATTTGAGACTCTCCTTGTGTTCTTGGCATAAAATAGTTTGAGATGCCGAAAAGAACCCAAAGATACCAAAACAATGACAATATCTACTAAGCACAATTAATTGGGTTTCTTGAGATTTAAGTTACAAAGTGGAAGCATTCCCCAATTCCTGCTAAACGTTCCACTCTTTCTGGGGTGGTCACGGGGCAGTCATATCCTGTACCCCTCTCACCCCAAACATAGAAGATTTCTATATATTTCATCCAATCACCCTGAAAAACCTTCAAGAGTTTAATAATTTCATTTTACAAACAGTAACAAGGTGTCCGGAAGGGTTGATAACTAGCCACGGGCCTCAGAAAGGATTCAACCCCAATCTGCTGGAGCTGAAACTCAGCCTTCTTTTGGAACCCTGTTTTGCAATGGCTACTCCTCTTTAACATTTTTGTTCTAATTATTTACAATGTGGCTTATAAAGTGTGTTAACCACTCAGCATATTTATCTTTAGGGCAATCTTATGAAACAGGCAAGGGAGGGGCTGTTTTCTCTACTCTTCAAATAAACGATGTTTAGTGAGGCAGAAACAATTTTACCATTGGTAAAATTAGTAGACCTAATCGCCAGCTTGGATTTATCTTGTTAGGCCAACACTGTGGTGATGAAATGGAGCCTGCTCTGAGTGTTTCTGTACAGATTAAGTTGTGCCCCATCTGGGTTCTGTTAGCTGTTATTTGTCCTGCCTGCCAATAAGACAAGACAAGAAGCACTGCAGCCAGAAGCACTTGTCCTAGCTGGTCAACACACTCCTCACAATGAAGATACTCATAACACCGCTGCGTGGCTCCTCTCATTCAAGAATATAAGATGCCTAGATTCTCAGATGATTAAATGTCAACCCTTCCAGAGAGTAAGAAACTCAGAAATGTGATGTCACCTGGCTTTCAACCTCACTTCTTCTGTCCCTGTGACCTTGCAACTGAGCTGCTGTCCTTGCTGGTCCCTCTGGTCCCATGCATATCACCACCCATCTGCCTTGCTCAGGATGTTCCTGACATTGGGAGGCACCTGAGTTTCCTCTTAGTTAAGGTGATTCAACTCTGTGTCCTCCCCAAGATATCAACTTGGATGAATCACTTTCTTCCTTTGGTCTCCATTGTTCATTCCTGACAGTATTCTGTCAGCATGATGGAGGTGGGCTTGCCATTCTCCATCATACTTCAGTACTTCATCTGTGCAAGCCTAGCCTCAACACAGAGCTAAGGAAATGGCAGGTGCTTGTGGCTGAGCCCTTGAACAGATGCAGGGCTGACAGTGTTCAGAGGACTTAGTGACACAAGCTATGTCATCGTCTGACAGATTCCGGGTAGATCGGGAAAAGCTCTAAAAAATCAGACTTTCCACAGCTAACTTATGTTATGACCTCCCTTTTTTGTATAATCATAATATCAAAATATTCTGAGCAACCTTCAGCTTACAATTGGATTGCCTCAGCTTCAGAAGGCGCTACCTGGCCCTGACAAGCAAGTACTGCACCAGGGTGAGAAATTCCTCTTGAAGTCAAAAGTCATTAATAACAACAAATGGCTGTTACTGCAAAGTCTCTCTCACTGCCAGACTGAGGAAAACCCAAATCTTATCACTCTATCTCACAGAGCCTTCTATTCAGTTTCTAAATAACCACTCAAGCTTTCTATTATCTAGTCTTTGGATATGGATATTCACCCAAATCCTATGTAGAGCTACTCAGGTTTTCTACCCTCTAGACTTCAAAAAAACTCACTTAAACTTTTTAACAAGTTTTTCAAAGAGCCTTACCTTAATTTGATTTACAAGAAATTTTCTCTTCCTGCCCTCACTTTACTTTACCCCCTAGGATGTCTCTGTGAGAATGAAAGCCCTTTAGTAAAAGATAATGTTTCAGGGACCTTATTTTGGTTAATCTTCACTGTGGTAAATATAGTAATATTAGTCTTAAACTTTGTGAATCTATGTACCTGTTTTAACCTTGATAGATTGATTTTAAAAATGTTATAATCTCAACTAAAGGTCAAATAAAACCGACCCCAGACTATTCTTAGCAAAAAGGTGATTGTGATCTCAGCCCATTTCATATGCTAATGTCATCCCTCTGCCTGTCTGAAGTGTATAAAATAAACCTCTGCTAAAGGCTGAGCAGGAAGACTTGTACCCAATTCCCATTCCTGTGTCTTCCTCCCGCCTCTCCCCTTTTTTTTTTCCTTTTCCCCCTTTTTCCAGGAATCTCCGCTCGCCATTCGCACCTTGAGACCCTGCCTGTTCTGCCCCCCAATAATCCGTGATCGGGGACAAAGTCTCCGACAACTTAGACAGAGAAAATCAGACAGATTTGGATTGGATCCTGACTACTTACTAGCTGTGCAACTTGCAGTGAGCGTCCTAACCCTTCCAAGCTTAATTTCCTCTTAGAAAAAGAGGATGATTCTTCGCAGGCCACTAAATGCAAAGCATATGTAAAACTAGCGGTGACTAAATGTCCTGTTTGCCTAAAAATGACATGAAATTTTCAGGGGTCAAGCTGGGAAAGACCCAAGTGAATAAACAGCTGGTTGGCCAAAAGTAGTCGGTGTGACAATATGCACTTGGTAGGCATTCAGTAAGCGATGTTTCCCCTTTTTTCAGGTCATGAAGGTATGAAAATGGAGCTCTTGGAAACTGCTTTGAGGCTTAGATTCATAGACATGCCTCACTTTACCTGCAATCCACCCATGCTGTTCGTCTCATTGACGTTCACTTAATAAAGGGGCTGCACGTCAGCCAGTCACCCTGGGAGCTCCCAGGAGGATACAAGCTAAGCAAAGTGGCATGGCAGGAAGATAGAGACCCCAACAAACAACAGGAGTCAACAGCCTGCTGTGTTCACCCTCACTCTGGCACTGAATTGCAGTGGAAGGGGAGACAAATGTAGCCCTGACTTCCACAGAGCTTATATTGGCTCTCCCTCTCCTAAGCATTTACGAAGTGACATTTTGTACTTACATTTTCTCTTCTGTCTGGTCCCCATCCGTGCCTGAAATGAATTAGAGCATGAAGAGTGTCAAAGAGGCTGCCTCAGAATAGAGATAGTTTCACTTAATCTAATGAGAAACCAAACCCACCAAGGCATGGGGAAAACAGGAAAACCAAAATCTCCAGCAAAAACCAGGGAGAGGGTGAGGAAGAGAAGTTGGGTGACTTGGTGTTCTGTTACTGTTGGGAGCTGAGGCTAGACAAACATCTATTTTGCTTAGCTCCTGCGGCAAATAATGACACACAGCTATATCCAAAAAGGGTGAGTCAGCAAACTAACTCCTTTGTAGCTATCAAATTTCACCAAGTAGGTATTTCTCCAAGCAAATGAAAACATTTTAGATAATATTCTCCTTTGCTGATGTTTTAAAACAATCATCTTGGGCTTTCAACCTGGTGTGAACTCAAGGCGGTTAGAAAATGCTGCCGCTCTAAGACTTTCCCTGGTGAACAAGTTAAACAGGTTTAGGAACAGCTGCCTTGAAGTTGTGGCAGTAGCTGTACCCCTGGGCCTACATCATGTTCCCCTCAGAGAGAGAGGCAGAGGAGGACAATGCTGAACATCTCCCATTTGTCAGATGTTTCAGGAATCATCATGTTTATTTAAAATGTTGCTAATCATTAGGATACATTTTTTCATCCATCTTGAATTTTGAACTATCCCATGAGAATATGAACTGGATGACGGTGTTGCGGGCACACTCTAGCCCTGGCTCTTATTGAATCCTCACTCTAGCCAAGCAAGGGCCTTTGAATCCTGATTACAAAGATGAAATAAACAGAAGCCGTGGTGATGTCCTTAGTAAATAGCACAGTTGAGTCTTGTCCTAGACACGTGTGTGCTATTTAGTAAATAGGGTCCAAAAGACTCTTTATAAAACCAGAAATCCTGAGGCAGACCATAGGATGCTGCCATTATAAAATGTAGCTGAGGAGGAAAGAGGGCACAGTGACACAATTGTACTTTCTCTGCTACCTGTGTCAAGAACATGGTAGGTAGGTACAGTTCCTTCTATACTGATGGTAGAAAGTACCATAAATCTGTGTCGTGGAAGATAAGTTTTCTACAGATGGCAGTTAAGCCCATGAAGTATTCCTCTGCTCATTTCATTGTGAGACTGCCATTTTCTTAAAAGGGACCCAAGCCCTTTACAACCAATCTGAGAAGCCCGACTGATCCTTAAACCACAGTAACCTCAGGGACCCACTCCCACAGGAAGCGCCCGTGACTTCCGGTTCTGCACAGAATACATACTAGGTAAGCTCTGGTATCACCTGTACTGAATGACAAGTTCAAGCAACAGAAGACAATTACCTTGGCACAGGTGGCTTCTTCCCCACTCCCGGAAGAGTGCTTCTTTCATGTCTTTCCGAGGTTGGTGGCAAAGGAGGCTTCTGTATCTTGGGTAAATGTTCCCCGAAAGGCCTGCAGAGTGGGTAGGAGGGATGTGAGGAACGCATATAGCCCCCGGGGCTGAGCTCTGCCATATCCACCAAGTACCCTCCACAGATGCCACGGGGTGCTTACCTTCCTGCAGGGGTGGGGGGCTGCAAAACAGGAGGAAAAATGGGTGAGTGTACTCAGCACTTTCAAAGAACAAAGACACCATACAAGCAAAAACGAAAATGAAAAGAAAACAGGGAAATAGCTTACCTTCTCAGAAATCCCAGGTTTCTTTACTGTAAATGACAAAGGGGAGATAGACCTTAAATTCATGATTTTACCAGCCAAACAGGACATATCAAAACATAATTTGATGAAGTGCTGAGCCCCTAAATGGCTGAGTGGATGAAACATTGAACTTTAGCAGAGGGGACAGTAGATCACATGCATATATGGATGTTAAATCCATATAAACCAATGTTAAATCAACCACAACTTATTTAAAAAATAAAATAAAAAAAAAAGAACCAAAGACTTTAGACCTGAGGAGTCTCTTACACAGCACAGAGCACTTAATTTTTTTTTAAAGATTTATTTATTTATACATACAGAACTGGGGTACAGGCCAGAGGCTTAGGGGCGGTGAGAGGCTTCACCAGAGACAGAGTGGGGGGCAGAACAGGCAGATCTATGAAGCACACTACTGAGGGGAGCAGCTGGCGGGTCAGGAGAGGTCTGCCACGCCATGTGGTCACCTCCGTGGCAGGTGGGAATCGAACTCATACGGAAGTGGTTTTAGCTTCTCAATGCAGTGCTTTAACCCACCGCACCACCAGGGAGGGCGGCACTTAATTTTATAGGCTTGGAGAATTAAGTGATTGGCCCAAGGTCATGCAGCATTGTGCACATACAAATTGTACTATGGTCCTGTCCTGCTTTTCAACATTTTATTTTTGTAACCACTGATAAAAAGATTAGTGTCTTCTTGGAAACTTACGCCACTTTCATTGGGAAGAGGTTCTTCAGTATATTTCTATATCTCAAATAAACTTAACTGGCATGGATGGGATTAACTAACCCTGTGGTACACATGACATTATATATAGTATTGCACTTAGGTTTCTTTGGGGGAAAAAATTAACTTGGGGGAGAGAGTTCCAGGACATTCTCCTGGCAGAATGCAAATCATTTTGTTTTGATTTTTATTTATTTATTTTATTGTTCTTTTGGAACAGATGCTATTTAGGCTCCCTGAAAAAAAAGTTAGGTGTACCTGAGAACATTGTGTTGCATAGTTATTCAAAGCAATTGATACATCATTCTGCTGATGTCCCTTAGCATAGATGTGCCCTGTGTCATCAGTGGTAATATAAATATTACTCAATTGGATTCAACCAGCTCCAGAAGTAAATCCCATATGACCTTAGAAAGTTACTTAAAGTCTTTGAATCTCAATTTTCTTACCTGTAAAGTGGGAGTTATAGGTTACAGCTGGATAGGTTTGCTATCAGGTGACATCTATAGGCAGGTAAGGCAGGCACAACATGGCCATGAACTCACGGGAGAGTTCCCTTCCTCTCATACCCAGGCACAGTTAACACCCTCTAGTAATTGGGAATTCCATCTGCCTGGAGTTGCATTTTCACATCATAATTTATTTTGCAAAGATTAAGTAGTTGCAAAGCTCATGATAGCTCCTAAGAATCTTGTCTCACTCTGAAGACCTCACTGCACTAGTGAGAGGGAATTTTGGTGGCATTAGAAATGTTTATTATTCCTCAAACTTTCATGTGGAATGGAAAGCCTATTTTAGATTCGTGTCATTAGGCCTAAATTTTTTCTTTTAAAACAACCTGCTGATGTATGCATATTCTCTGGGGATGTTGGGAGTCTCCTGTTGGGTCTGAGCACTTAAAATTAAGGCAAATTCTTGCAAAATATCATAGACAAGGGAGTAATTCAAAGATAGAGGTGGGTGTCTTTTAAATGGGAAAAAAATGGAATAAAGAATCTTTTTAAAGAGGTGATTTTGAAGTCTCTGTCATCAGTATTGAACTTCGCAGATGCTTTGGTTCATGATGGTAAACAAGGCCAAGTTTGGAGTCACATCTCTCTGTTTTCATTTTTCACGGAATTTGTACAGTTCTCTGCAGTGGATCTTTCTCACTCAAATAGCCAATACAGCTTTGCATGAGTCAGCAGCACTGGGATGCAATTTCAGGAAACAGCAGCAGCCTCAACTCCAAGAACTGAAAGTCATTTTGCCAATATACAAGGAGACTGAAGCCAAGAAAGGCTAAGTGCCCTGCTCAGGCTGACCTTCCAGGTTCCCTGTCCCACAAAACTCTGGGCTCCTTTCCTTGAATTCCCTAGTCCCCATCAAGGAAAATCCAGCATCTCCAGATACAGCATGAACTGAGGAAGAAAAGCATTCATTTTGAAGTCAGGAAGACATGGATTCAAATCCTGTACCTAACTATGCAAATTTGGGGAAATTATTCAACCTTTCTGAGCTTCAGATTCATTATCTGCAAAGTGAGGATATATATCTCCCCTTCATGGCATTGATGTGGAGCTGAGAGACAATGGAGGTAAATTATCTGTGATAGGTAAAGTGCTTGCCCCCCTAGTAGATGCTCAATAAATGACAGCTGAAGTTTAGAGTTGACTTGAAAACATATTTATGTAAGGGTTCCTGCACCCTAAGATTCTGGATTAGTTCTGGGGGGAGAGGGCTGCTGTCTATTCAATTTGACCAACTGCATACACAGACCCAAAGGACAAGCCCGACATTTGAATAGCATCTTGGAGCTTTATAAAAGCATTTTCTCCTTAAAGAACACCTCCTTAAAGAACTGAAGAGGCAGCTCTGAAAAAGAAATACTCTGAGCTGCTAAGTAGCAGCCAAGGTCTCAAAAGCCCTTCCAGAACTCTCAACTCAGCCCACTCTCTGCTCTGTACCATGAGGCCTCCTGCATCACCCTCTGGGAGGAAGAGGAGATGAGTGTATACAGATAACACTCATGGGGAAGCAGGACCACATAAAGCAAAGGACAGGGGTTCTGCAATCAGGCTGATCTGTTTTTGGGCCTCTACCTATCATTCTAGTATGAATACATCCCTGTGAAAGGGGGCGGGGGGAGTACTGAGTGGTTGTCATTTTCTCCCACGCCAACTTATATGGAGCCATTTTGGACCACCGATCCCATCATGTCATGAACCAAATTTCCTGAAAGGAAGGCAGCTGGGAAGGAGGAAGGTGGAGCTATACAAGGAAATGGTGCTAAGGAAGAGAGAGAGACGTGGAGAGGTACTCAGAAGAGACCCATGAGAGAGAAACATGAAGAGACACTGGGAAGAGATACTTAGAAGACACACATGGATGAGAGACATGTGAGGAGGCTGTTCCTCACCCTTGGCAGAGACAATGGTAGCTATTATCTAGACCTCGTGGGTTATATGGCATATTATGGATTATGATATATTTTGAATTTTGAGTCTCGCTTTCTGTTCCTGCTGTCTTGGACCTGACTAACCCTTTTCTTGTGGCTCCCTGCCAGAATGCACCTTATACTGTGGCCAGCTTTCAGGCCTCAGTGACACCACTCTGGCTTGACCCTATTAGTCTGCTCATTTTGTTAAGGGGAAGGATGTCCTAAAGGAACTCTGCAGAGTTCTGTGGACTCTACCTCCTACTCCAGCTTTGTGGACTCTACCCCCTACTCTAGTGATTGGAAACTACAACTCCCAGCAGTACCAGGGAGAGAAGTGTGAGGACCCAAGGGCAGCGCTAAGCAGGCATTCTGGGACTTTTGGGGATAAATAGGGCGCCATTTCCTACAGCTCTCTACCTCGGGCAACCAGCAACGGCTCTTGGGATTGCAGTGACTGGGGTTTTCAGTTAATTTGTTACCAGAGCTCCAAGTCAGCCAAGCTGGTAAGAAATTCCAGTTACTTTGTATGCCTCTCTCTTTCCCTGGGTTGTTTCCTTTTCTTTTCCCCTTTTGTAAATAAACCCGTTATTGACCCTTTTATGTGTGCCTGCAGTACAACTGAATTTTAAGTGCGCAGGTGAGGCCCCACAGACAGGCAGCCCCGTTCACATTGGGTGCCCTGTAACAATTTGACTGTAAGGGGATGAGTAAAATTTGGAATTTTAAAAATATATTACTTGAAATCTTTTTTCTCTTTTCCTCTCCCCACATCCATTCTATTAAAAACCCTCCACATGAAGAGTCTGCTTTTTTTGCTTCTGGACGCACAGGTACCAGACCCCTTTTGGAGCACAGAACCTTTAACAATTTGTTTGTTCCGGGATACCCCCTCGGTCACATGCCAACAACTTGGTAGCTGAGTTATCTTAAGAAATTATCTCTTTATGGCCTAGTTTCCTCATATGTAAAATGAAGATGGTTCTAACAGACCCTGCTTCGCAGTACTGTGGTGATAGTAAATGAGATGGCTCATATGAAAGGTATACAGTAAGCACTCTATAAATGTTGGTCATCATTCCCATGCCTCAGGTTTAAACGCTACCCACCTGGTGTGAGGGGCTCTCTGTCAAATGGAACTAATGACCGATCCAGGGGAGGTTTCGTGCTTCTGTCTATGGAAGGAGCAGGGACTGGAATGCAAAAGATTGGAGTCAATTCAAAGAAGGCGGTTGGCTGGGCGTGTGTTCATAGCAGGAGGGCAACGCCTATACTTACTCTTTGCTGTTTTGTGGTTTCTGCTTCTGCTAGGCTCTTCGTGGTTGAGTTGGGGTGGGGGGAGTGGCTGATTAGAAAAGAACCAAGTATTAAAAAGGATTTCCAAAGCATTAGAAATGCTGGGCTTTTCATCTCCTGAAATATGTCTGACCAGATCACTTCCTCCTTCTCCATCTTCCACACACACAGATACATCTCCACTTCTCACCTGAACCTGCTCTCTGAGCTCTCAGTTCCACGTTCTCTCACCCAAGTTACTTTCTACCTAGCAGTAGGGTGGGCTTGTCAATCCCCTCCTAAGCCATTTAGAGGCTCTTATTGTTTTACAGACAAAATAAAAATTCACCTTGGCCTGTAAGGCCCTGCCTGTCCAATGCCATCTGATACTTCTTTCTCCAGTGCCCACTGGATAAAGTCTTCTTGCAGTTCCTGCTAAATCTCAAGCTCATCTCTTTACTTGTGTTTCTCTCTGCCTGGAGTGTTCTCTTCCCAGCCCTGGTCATGACTAGCTTATTTTATTCAGTTCAATATCACCTCCCCACTGTGCATCTTGTTACCAGGCACCACACATTACTGCTAAAATTATTTTGTTTATACATGTGTTTCCTTGCTTACTTTCTCTCTCCCCTAATCAAAATAAGAAAACAAAGCAGGGAACTTATTAATCTTGTTCATGCTCTATTTCCAGCATCTGGCGCATTGTTGGACACACAATAACTGGTCAGTAAATATCTGCCCACTGAGTAAGTTCTGCTCCCCAAAGTGGAGCCTAAAGCCTTGTGATTTCAAAAGTGAAACACCTTTGTAAATTCCATTTGTCTATGGAATTTCAGGCATTGCCCAGCAGGTGGCGCAAGCCTTTTTGCAGGCGCAAGAAGGAGGCTTGAGTCCAAGGAATATGGGTAGGTGCCATTTACTTAATTATTTCTTGTAGAGTTTACTGTAAGAGTACTTTTTATTGCATAAGTAATATGCAAGAAACATCCCAATATAATACATATAAACATTCCATGAATTAAAATCATTAGTATTTCATCCCCCACAAGTCCTAGTGTGAGTAATTGGGTATACATTTTCTCATGTTACATATGACAGTTTCCTTCTGGTTAAAATCAGAAAAAAAAAAAAAAATTAAGGTCTCCTTTTCTCTCTGGAAGAGGAAGTAATCAGAGCGGACGCAGAGCAGCCTAACAGAGAGCAGCAAGGCCTACCATGTGATTCCGGGCAGCTGTGGGTGGAGGGAGGCCCACCCCAGGTCTCTGGGGGGGCACAGGCGGCTGCTGCTGCTGCTGGACCTTCCCGGAGGGGGGCCGGTCTGTGGAGACACAAGGGCATTACTATGAAAGGAGAAATGTTAAACCACTGTCAGTGTGGGCCGAGATCAGGGCTCTTCGGGAATGGGTCCTGTGCCTGGCCCTGCCCAGCAAGGGGCCTTGGGAGTGGGGCTTGGGGCCCCTCATACCTCCAGCAGCACCGACATTAGCCCACCTGGTAGGAATTTGTCCCCACTAAGTCCCATCCGGTGGGGAGTCCTTGGCCACCTGCCTGCCTCAGTTTGCCTTATTCTTACTTTCAGAAGCTACCCACATGTCACCTCTCTGTCGTAGATATTTATCAGTTTTCCTGGTCAAGGTATGCAAAAAGGTGTCTCCTCAGCTAGCCCAGCTGGTACCAGAAGGGAGTGTGTTCAGACAAAATTGTAAAGGATTAAATGTACACAGCCCTGCAGGTACAGGCATACAAATGCACACACACGCCTAGGCATACACAAGCACACCCCTTTGGTTTAAATGGGCTGGCATGGCTCCTGGGGATCCTGACCTGGGACCCCTTCCTTCCTCTTGAAGCGCTCTAGCTATCCTTCCCACTCCCACTTCCTCCTTCTGCTCTTTTGCAAGGCTCTTCATGGTTGGGTAGGGGTGGGGGAAGTGGCTGGTTAGAAAAGAACCAAGTACTAGAAAGGATTTCCAAAGCATTAGTAAGTCCTGAGCTCTTCATGTATGTCTGACCAGATTACTTTCCCCCTTCTCCATCTTCCACACACACAGATGCATCTCCACTTCTCACCTGAACCTGCTCTCTAAGCTCTCAGTTCCATATTCTCTCACCCAAGTTCATTTCTACCTGGATGTGGACTGGCTTTGGGCAGGTTGCACATTCTGTCCACATTCTGATGGACAGGCTGATAGGCAATGTCCCACCCTTCGACAGAGATAGGCCAGGCCAGGACTATAAGTGAGGGAACTCCTCCTTACTTCTGATGCACTGGGACTTCTAACAGCCCTGGAGAAGCCTCCCTCTTCCAGAGAGCAGGGCTCAAAACTTAGGCCAACATCACCTAATCTCATCCTGGCACCCATGCTGACCGTCTCCCAGTTCTGCCACATGCTATGCTCCGTGGAGTCTCAGGGCTTTACATGACCATTGCTACTGTAGAAAGTGCTTCTTCTTCCCTTGTCCACACTCACTTAGCCAATGCCTACTCATCCTTTAAGTTTCTGTTTAAATGTCACTTCCTCAAAGAAGAAAGTCCAAACTTGACCTAGGTCTCAGTCTCATCTCTAGCACTTGACTTCCTGGTGTCTTTATACACACATATATGTATATATATATACACACACATATATACACACATACACTCTCTTTATAAATATATATATATATACACATACATATATGTGTGTATATATACACATACACACACACATATATATACACACACATACACACATATATAACATCATGTATCATATGTATATAAAACATCATTTTGTGACTCATTTTTTTGATAGTGTCTCCCCCTTGGACTATGAACCCCTTAAGGTGAGGACTGTCTTATTCACTCTACATCTTCACAACTGGCTCATGAGGGGCTCAACAACTTTGTTATCCATTCTTCTCAGTTTCCCTGTATATGAGTTAGACTTGATAGTTTTCCCTGTTATCACACAAGCTGCCTAAGAAACACAAAACCTTGGCACAGTGTAAAGGGCCTTTAGCATGGCCAAGGGTTATCCAATCCAAAGGCTTAGTGCTGCCCATTTTCTGTGACTCTGACCCTCTCTCTATAGAGCTCACACCTTGCTGTCACGTCACATAGACGCACTTGAGCTAATTTCCTGTGATCATCACTACTAGTGTGTGTGCCCATGAGGCAGGACTGTGACATCTTTGCTGATGATGCCCCAGCTTTTAGACAGGTACCTGACTCACAGTAGGAGATTCATAATTTCATTTAAAAGAATGAATGAAAAAGAAATGGCTTGTCAAGGAAAATTAAAATCTTAAATATTATTTACAGTTTTATAAAGTCATGATCACACTCCACTCCTATCATTGTGTTTTTTTCTGAGTCTGGAAGGGGTAGTGTAACTGAACTATGAGTTGATCAAAAGATACAGAGCAATAGGAAAGGCCCCCTGAGGACTGGGGAAATCTATGAAATGAGTTGTTACTGCCAAAGTCCAGTAAGTAGCAAGCAGTTCAATGCTGACACCAGCCACCATGGGCACTGATTTGTGCAGGATTAATAACCCCCATGACCAACCTATATGGTCTGTATTATTATTTCTCTTTCATACATGGGGAAACTGAGGCCCAGGGAGGCGTTGTCTCTTGCCCAAAACTACACAGCTGGAAAGAAGCTGAGCTGGATCAGTGCATCAGCTTCCTGCTATGTGGGCACTGGCTTCCTGTGCGGGGTCTTGGGGGGTGACGGGATCTTAGTGGGTGACAGAGTGCTTACCAATATACATGGAGTTGGGGATAGGCTTGGCAGGCAGGATGGAGTTCTGCAGTGCTTCCTCGTCGTTGGAGGGTGGTGGCTCATAATCGGCATCGTCCTCCACGGGGGGCAGCCCTGCACCCTCATCCTCAATGGGAGACTCATAGTCACCGTCACCCTCCTCCTGATCCTCGTTGGGACTTTCATAGTCATCTTCCTCCTCCTGCCAACACAGTATGGAGCGGTGCTGATTGTAGAGGCCCCAGGCCTTCAGTAGCCTGTACCTGCTGTCTCCACCAGGCCTCACAGTAGCACCTGCCAGCACAGGCAGCACTGGGAGGTCTCCTTCCCGTGCACAGAGGAGGTCACTGAGGCTGGGGAGTGCAGCTTTCCAGGAGGGGCCAATCGTGGTCTTCAGACCACTGGGAGATTTCCTCTATACCAGTTTGTACAACAGAGACAAGCAGAAGGAATGAGGAATAAGGACAAGACAGAGACAACCAGTTCTGTTTTAAGTAAACTCATTTTTTACTTCAGGCATCACCAAGTGGTAGAGGAAATGCCTGGAACATTTGTGATCACAAATGACCATCAGATGTGTTCTGAGTGGCAGAAAAGACCAATTCTCTTTACTGTACCACGGCAGGCCATGCTACTAGGGAGACTCGAGAAAAAAACCTGTCCACTAGAAGGCAGAGTAAGTTGTGTTTGTGAGCAGAAGGCCAGAGACTGTGGTAACTTTTTGCTGAGACTATGGAGTATAGAAACAGCAGCTCATTATTTTTCATGACATCTGACACTGAATTTGAAGCCGCTCTCTTAGGAGAACGTTCTAAATTTTCAATAGCTGTTTGTGTTTTCTGGTTGCAGCTCTGTGGGCCTCAGAGAAAGTGAGCCTGGTGCTAGGGAATTATCTTTGAAGGAGCCAGGGTAGAGGATAGTCACAAAGATTGCCCAAGCGGAGGTGGCCCCACCCATCCCTGGGACACAAGTGATTTTTGTCCCCCTCATGTAAAATCAAATGGGTAAAAGAAGTCAGTGAGGCATTTTTTTTTTTTTTTCCAAAGCCAAAGGTAGTGTGGAAAGGAACAGTGGGAGGTTGCCACCTGACAAAAGAGGTATATGTGCATGTCCTGGGCTTTACTAGGGGCCTACAGAACACTAACTTGTTGGATTCACAGATTCCTACAATTATTTTTGACTCAAGGGGGATTTTACTTTAATATGGAAAGCAAAAGAAAGGTTGAGTGTTTCCCTGAGCTTATGTTCCTATCATTTAAGAGAAGGGGATGGAACCCATAATAAATGAGACTTCAGAACAATAGTTTCAGTCCCTTCCAGCCCCCGTTGATCACCCCATAGAGTGGCAGCAGTTAACGGAGGCCCACCATGTAAAAGAGGAGAGAACCTGGTCTCGGGCTGAGGTCCCACATGGAGGTCACTGCACTTGGAAAACAGGGTGCAATGAGATAGCTCTATTGAGAAAATGTCAATACTAGGGTGGGGGATGCCTTGTCCACTTTCTCTTCTGTACAAAATGAACTTGTCACCTTCCTCTGTTTTCCTGTAGAGAGCACACTTGCGAGCGGTCTTCAAATCCAGGGCTCTTTCACCAGGAGCCTGAGAGGACATGGGGTGCTATGTGTCTGCTGCAGCAGCAACAGTAGCAGCTTACTGCCAAGACCACAGGGCCCAGGCCTGCCTCTCACTGGTGCTCTGGGTAAGCCACATACTCGTGGGCTCGGCATCTTTACCGTGAGACAGTGGCGCCCACCCACAGCATGTTTGACTGAGTCTAGTTTCACGCCCAGTGACTGTGGAAGCCGTTACCTGGGGAGAGGATGCGCAGAGCTCATCAGACACTTAAAGTGGCCCGCAGCACCCCTCAAATATAAAAACCAACTGGATCAGAATTGCTCTGATGTCTTTTCAAGCTAAAAAGTGATTCTGAAATCCCTTTCCCTCTGTTCCACCAGGGGGAACTTACGTCCACAAGAAAATCTATAGCAGTTCCCTTCCATCACCCCCCACCCCCATCCATGGGGGGAAACAGTCCAAAACACGCCGTGGATACCTGACACCATTGGTAGTACTGAAACCTGTCATCCTTTTTATCACGACATAGAGTTTAACTTGTAAATTAGGCATAGTAAGAGAGTAACAATAACAAGGAATAATAAGACAGAACAACCATAATAATATTCTGTGACAAAAATTCTGTGAATATTGGTCTCTCCGCCTTCTCCTCACTCCCCTCCCCATCGCTCTAGCTATTTATTGCACATGGTATTTTTAAATTGTGGTTGACCTCAGGTAAGGAAACCGAGGACAAGGAGGTACCACCTACTTTAGCAGACCAGCTAGGGGTGGGGGAGGGGGAGGCCCTGCAAGCCGGGTGGTGATGGTGGCTAATGGTGTCATCAGCATACTGCCCCCCCCCCCCCAGGGCCGAGCAACTGCCCTGTTTGTAAATGGATTTGGCTGGCTTGCATGCCCATCCATCCGGTGCCCTCTCCACTGCCTTTGCCCGGTGCTGGCAGAAGGGAGAAGTGACAGACACTCTGTGGAGGCAAAGTAGGAAACGCTGTTCTCTGGCCTTTCGGGAACGCATGCGTGACCCTGGGGAGGTACGCAGCATCGAGGCCTCCCTGTTTGGCATTCTGCCGGTTCCCGGTGACAAAGTCACAGGGGATGGCCATGGAAATGGGAGGACAGTCCACACGATACTCACGAAGGAAGACCAGCCCCCATTGTCCTCTTCGTGGCTTTCTGTGGAAGAAACAACATCTCTGTCACTACCAAAGAAGCCACTCAAAAGTCCAAGCCGCCCTTCATCTGTGCCCTCCACGCCCCTCCCACCATCCCAGGCGTCCACCTTCTACCCGGCCAGAGATTAACCACTGTGTCAGCTCTGGAATTTCCCCTGGAGGAACTCTCTGTACAAGAGTGCAGAGGTCTAACCCCAGAGTCACTGAATCAGCAGAACTGGGTGGGACCCAGGGATATGCATTTAAATAATACCATGTGCAAGTTAACAGTTTAAAAACTCCTTTTCAGACTCAGAGACAGGGGAGCTGGCTCAGCTCAAGTGCGGAGAGAGGATGGTCCTCCCATGTCTCTCACAGAGCTCTGAAAGCTCCAGATGGGGTGCCAGCCGGGCAGGGGCCATCAGCTCTCCTCCCCTCAGTCTGGATCCAAACTCTTTTGGGGGTTAGACTTAGCTGACGTACAAGTGAATACGTGAGCTTCATGCTACCCAGGGAGGAGTAGGAACCCCAGACACAAAAGCCAAAGGAAGTCCTTGTTATCCCCTAAAATGGTGACTTTCAACCCTGAGCCCTTTACCTCTATCGTCATGAAACCGCTGCACTTGGGGTCTGCAGAAGCAAACAGCATTGCATTAGTGGTCCTGTTGATTTAAGGGGAATTGTCCTCCTCCTCAACCCAGCCCTACAAGAGGTCTCCCCAGTGGGCAAGCTATCTTGCCACCCAGAAGTGGTGTCCTTGTTGCTTGGCAACAGGGGCCAGGCTGTTTGAAAATTCGGGAAATTACCCAAATCACACTGGTGGCAGCACTGGCAGCAAAAGCTCATGACTTTTAGACTCTTTAGGGGAAGTTCTCTTGATATCGTAAACCCGGGGGGGGGGGCAGGATGCAGGGTAGGAGAAGGGAAGGGACCGCCCCTCCTTTCCTGAGTCACCAGTTCCAAGACCCCTGGGATGGAATGAGTGCTGCAGATTAAACATTGGGGCAGAAACAGTCCTGTGGCTCCCATCAAAGATTTGCCTTGGGTTTGAAAAACCTTTGCATTCCATTACAAGGTTCATCAACCGCTCTGGTTACCCACTCACTTGCGTGCAAAAATGCTCCTCCTCTCTTCATTCTTGTTGATGTCTTGACTTAACTTACTGAGAATCCTACAAGGTAAACGGACAGATGAGTTAGAAGGTGAGTTACAAAATGATCACCTTCTCCACCACTGAGCCCTAAAGCTACCTGGTCTGTGTAACTGTCTGGAGCAGCCTCCTCCCCTGGCTTCCAGCCAGTGCCCTCCCGAGGACCCTTCGCTCCTGAGTTCCTCACCTGCATCCTTCTGCTAGACCTGCCCCTGCCCAGGAAGCCCTCTGTGTCTGACTCGAACTTTGGAGTCTAGCTCTTGGCCTCCGTATGAAGGTGTCAGCTCTAGGTGCCTCTGTGAAGACAGCTGCACCATCTCCGAAAGCCTGCAGCAGGTGTGCCATTGTGCACCTCACTATGTGAGTATCCCTGGATTGTGGTCCCTGGACTCGGCTTAGCCTCCTAGTAGTGACATCTGGTTTCCAGGATCTAGAACCCTCGTGAGGTCCAGAGGAATCATTATTCACTGTGTAACTCTTGGCAAGTGCCACAGTGGACTGTTCTTTGGTCCATTCTCTCCTTCCTGTCTCATACTCAGTGACATAGGTTCTTACAGAAACTTGGGAGGCTCCCCAGAAAAGGCATAGCAGAGTGGGAGACTCCCTGAATGTTCTATGCTCTGAGGTCCACCTTGGCCAGGTTCCTTGGAGATAATCTTAGTCCCTGGTGTTATGAATTAACAATCCCTAACCCCCAGAAAGGACAGGCCTTTACCATCAGGCCTGCACTGCCAGCACACAGGACACTCAGTATCCTTTCTGTGGGCTCTCTTGAACCTCCAAGAATACAAACTCCAGCCTCCTTTAGCATCCACGGCTGGGGAAAAGGCAACCCTCATTTGTAAACAGGTTCTACTTCCTAGAGATTTGGAGCAGCTGGAGTAGACTCAGAGATGACCTTGTCCAAGGTCTTTCTACAGATAAGGTCACATAAGTACAGACCAAGGAAGGAGCTAGCCCCAGAGTGAGAGATGGACTCCACCCCTCTACCCACAACACACACACACACACACACACACACACACACACATACACACACACAAACACACACACCGGAAGCCAAGCTCCCAAGTTCCTAGGGCAGGACACTCACAAAACATCACATGCTCCTGTTCATTCCCTTGAGGTTAAAACTCCCTTCATGGGAGTGGACAGCCTGGGACACATTTGCAGATGACCGGGAGCTACTCTCCTCTGCTTAGTGATCCTCTAAAACTGACAAGCTTGATCTAAAACAAAGTGGCTAGATTAACAAAGGCAGTCCTTAGCTTCCACTGCTTCTGGCTTCCCCAGCTACTCCACAGACCTGCTGCCCCCCACGTTTCTCTGTGTTCCCAGGGAACTGTGGCCTGGAAGCCACCTGCCTCCCCATCATAATGCCGCAGGACTTCACACTCCATTGAGTGCCCGCTGGGGAGGTGCCCAGCAGAGAAAGGCCTGCTCTTGTCGGCAGGGATGGGGAATGCCCTCTGGTTCACACTGCCAGGCCCCTGGTGACTGGTGATGTGAGTTCTTTGTTTCCTTTAAGCCATTGTTTTGAGAAGCTGATGGGACTCCCTCCCCTCCCTCCATCAACTTGGGGATGGGATAGAGGGATCCTGCAAAGATGACCTGGGAGCCCTGTTGGTGTCCTGTGGCCAGGTCCTGGTGGCTGCTACAGTGTGTCCCAGTCAACTAGCACTCTGGGTACAATAATGATATCAATGTGCCAAAAAATATGACTAACCTATTTCTTCTCCAATGTCAAGAGCTGCTGATTCCCAGTCTCAAACAGAGATTATTTTCAACCTCTCTTTACACAATCTATTGTCCTATTTCTTCATCTCAGTAAATGGAAAGAAATTCCACCTGTCACCCAGAGTGGATCTCGTCTTACTCTTGACCCATCTGTCTCTCTCCTCACATCTAGTCAGTCATCAAATTCCTTCCTTGCTTACTTTAAAATACACAGAATCCAAACACCTTTCAGATACTCAACATGCAAACCTAAATCATAAAAATAAAAATTGCCTGATTATGAAATAGATTACCCAGAATGCTTTCCCCATCTAGACCACAACAAAGTCCATTTGCTCAATGGTGCCAACAACTTCTATTCTACAGTTTAAGTTGGAATGGATCAACTTACTGCTTAGATTCCTTTCCTGGCTTCTCTTGACACACATCAGTGCACCATTTATTGAAAACACATTTACTCTGAGGGTCTGCAACACTGCTGGGCTCTTGAGGAGCTTAGGTAAACAAAGGGGATGAATCCCTACTCTCGAGGAGCTGACAAGTTGATGAAGAGATCGACCATAAACAATGAGCATTTAAGGAAGTGAAATTCTAGGTGAACACTGTAAGGTGCACATGCAGTGGGGGCGGAGAGGGGGTGTACTGGGTAAGACGGGGGCTGCTGTGCCTGGGTGCAGTGCAGTTGCAATTTCAAATGAGCTGGCCTCCGTGGGATGACATTTTAGCAATGAACTGAGAAGGCGAGCTGAAGGTCCCTCCACACCCCCAGCCCCTGACTGGCTCACAAGTTGATTTTGATCCTAAAAAGACCTCTTGCTCTGTGTGGTGTAGGTGTCTCTTTTTACCCGTATCTTTAGGGGCCAGGCTGGAGGCTGCTGGGGCTGTCAGTGGCTAAGGAAGGAAATGCCAAACCACAGGCCTGACAGGGGAAAGGGGGAGCAACAAAGAGCTGAGAAAGAACAGAGCTGGGCCTCGCCTTTGGCTTGCAGCCAGGCTTCGGCCCACAGGCTTTTCCTGAGAGGGGAGAGCTAAGAGAACAGCTTCGAAGCCAGCTGGGACCACGGCTAGGAACTGAGTTGATGGGGAGCAGTGCTGGTAGACAGGACAAGATGCTACCTCTGTGTGCAAAGGTGACCCTCTTCCAGACCTCGGAGGACCAACTGACACTGCGTGGCCAGGGCTGATTCATTACTCCTCCTCCCCAGAAACTCCAGCTTTCAACTGGCATCAGAGAGAGAGGTAGAGGGGTTGGGAGCTGTAGAATTAGTTCTCTGGTTTGACATGTTTTAGGGATAACTGACTCTGGAAGTGGGGCTGACCCCCAAAGTCAGACCACTGTGGCATGGTAGAGTCTAGTGACCTGGTTTGTTGCAGCTGTAGTTGCTGCATGATGGGGCCAGTCTTTGGCTTCTTGATCAGAGATCTCTCCTGTGATGTTATAAGACTTATTCCACGTCTGATTATGACATCCATCCCCAAGGGTGGTAGCCACTGAGTGACCTTGCGCAAGACAGTCACCCTTCTCCCTACCAACAAAAGAGGGCTGGCACTGGTAAGAGGACCCCTGTCTGGCTTGTCCATCGAGGTGACATGGGAACCCCTGTCCCAAATGTATATTTCCAGGCCCACTCTGGACTCCACCCATCAGACCCTCTAGGGAAGACTTTGCAGCCAGGCTCTGGGGGAATTCCTATAGTGCCTAAGTGCCTGAAATTGGTTGCTTTATGTTTGCTGATTTGATTTGATTTGATTTGATTATTTTGCAGAGGTAATGTGGTTTACATCGTTATTTGTATTTTGGGAGTACAGACCCCCACTTCAGGTGGTGTTACATAGTGTACCCACAACAAAAGCACCCATAACCCACTCCCACAGTCCACTATGTTCCCTCCCCACTTTGTTCTCTCTCTTCTCCCCCTCCTCTCTCCTCTCTTCTGAATTCTTCAGTTGTCTAGTCAAATTTGAAGAGTTAGCTTTTAAATTTTTTTTGTTTGTTAAGAAGGAAGAGGGAGAGAGAAGAAGGGCAGGAAGGGGAGAGGTAAGGGTGATGGAAGAAGAAGATGAGGAGGAGAAGGAGGAGGGAGAGCAAAACCTTTGTAATTATGTAGGGAATGAGTTAGGACACAGCAGTATGGGGGTCTCGGTCTCTTTGTCTTCCCTTGGAGTCCCTCAGGAAACCCAGGGCTGCTTTTCCAAAGCCCCTTTGCTTTACCAGTGGCCGATGGAAGTCTACCAGTTGATCTTAAATTCGACTTGGCTGGTCACACAGAAGGAGGAGAGAAACTGAAGGGCACGAAGGGAGGGAGGGAAGGAGGGAACAGAGTGGGAAGTGTCAGCACCTGCAGAGTGCAGCAAGAACGTGGTAGTGCTTTCTGGCTGCTCTATCTGCTGCCTGCTTGTCACTGTGTACCACTTACAAGGTAGAATGCGGGCCCTGCCAAGGCAGCATAGTGACAGCTTCCTCCTTTCCCTGGCATAGGCCCTGCTAAGGGGAGGCTTATGCTCTTGACTCCAATTTCAGATGCAGGGTGCACACTGAGCCCTCCAGGAACAATGATCCAAACTGGGGACCAGTTGGGCTCCTCCAGCTCACTGCCTGGCTGGGCACCTCTGTGACCTTAGATACCACCTGCATCGCCCTGTGCCCAGCCTCCTTCTCCCTCTGCATTCCATTCCCCTTTAAAGCAGTTCCACCTTCAAAAGCTGCTTCCTTCAGTCAAGAGCCAAACCTCCCAAACTCTGTCCTTGTCACTGTAGACAACAAGAGGTGCATCTTGGATCTCAGGAAGGAACATTTGGGGTTATGTCAGGCCTAAGTGGGAAGCAAGGTATTGCGTGGTCACCCTACTAGCTAGGCCCCCCCAGCCCCACACTTCTATAGAGTGTATTTTACTGGTGTTTCACACTCATTTTGTGTGGTAGAATTATTCTCATTTTTACCAACAAGAAACGCTAGGCACATAGAGACATTTGTCAAAGCCACAGGGCAGTTTTCTTGTCCGAAAGTCAGATGCTTGGGCTTGCACTGGAGGAGATGGAGCAGCAGTGGTCAGAGGAGGTACTTGGCACATGGGAGGAACCAGGAACCTGGATAAGGACTGGCCAATGGGTAGGAGGGACAGAGCATGGTAGAGGACAGAGTTTGGCAGCCACGAGATGTCTGCTCACGAGATGTCTGGCCCCTCTCTCCCTTGTCTCTCCATTCCTCTCTCCCTGGCTTGTCTCAGGTAGTCACTGAATAGATGTGGATGAGATAGTAAACTGTCCTTGCTGTTTGGAGATCC